ATTGACAGTATTAAGTATGGTGGAGTTTAGACCTAACTAAACTAAAGCAAAGAACGTACACAAGTTACATGTTAATTTATCTTTTTATCAAATATAAGCCGTACGTAAAAAAGAAGGCTTAACTAATATTAGGCTTAAGACAAGCGCACTTATAAGTTATAGATTTCGGCGTCTGCGAAAATGTTTTGTGGGTCTCTGCTAGTAAATTATACAGTAGAGGCGTGTTTTACAAATATTCAGACAGCTTCCTTGCGTGTAACTGACTAATTATGAAAGTGTGATAAATTATCAACATCCGGGCATTCAAGGTTTCGAAAATATAATGGTCGAGTTGTTTCCCAAAGAAACTAAAGCAAACTTACTTCATTATATGTAGAAATTTTAAAGCTAATCATACTGTCTGATGTTAAGCTGTGTTCGCCAACTTCAATTAAAGGCTTTTACTTATACTTCTTAATAGTATAAATAGTATACTGTGTTGATGTTGTTGGGCTTAGGATTTTTCTACAGTAGGTGACTATGACTTGTTGGCGATAAATTCAACGATAAATGAACAGCATGCACCCCACTTGTTTTCAAAATAATATATATATTCGGAGCTAGTTTAACGTATGTACAACAAATTCTTTACACTATAGAGATCATAGGGATATCATAAACACTATATAGTTCTTTTCTTCTTGTCAAAAGTCCACTTAGGCCTATTCGATTACTTTAGAATTTCGGTTAACAAGCCGAACTACCTTTCCCTATTTCTATCGCACTAGAATTTACTTACATTGCGAATTGTGGCGCGAGTTACCGTAGTCGTATACTTCTCTTCCAGTAATTGTTTGGTCTTCTTTCTTCTACATATTCTGTATTCCTTTTGTCAAAAGTGCACTCAGGCTGATTCAAATACTTTAGAACCATGCTTTGATGGAATAAATTCTTCTTCTTATCTCTTTCTCTACTGTTAGTCTTACTCTAACACATTAAACGTTAGGCCTATGTTAATCGTTAGGCCTATCACTAATACGGCATTTGACTTCTCGCCAAACTTTTTCTTGGCTCTGACTTTATTTTCTTCTGCTATTTTCTGTCTGCTGTTTCCGCTCGTCTCACACTATTTATATGATTATCACTTAATCGTCTGTCCGTCTTCTAGAAATCTCTATATTCTCGACGTCAGTTTATTGCACGTGACATTCAATAGTCTCAACATCAATGAATTATAAACACAACTTCCAATAATCGTCTGCTTTTAACTCTCTTAAGTGATGAATTTAATATTATATATTTATTTTAATACTGATGTTTCTTTAAATTCAATTTATATTTAGAAATCTACATAACGTATACTGTTAAATATGTATTGCGAAACTCACGCCTATTCTCTAAAGTTGTAGAAGATTCTCGAGTGTAAGAATTAACAATATATGCGTGTACGTAAACGCTAGGAAGCTTTATACTGTTACGTAATCTGAATTTTCGACAAGCTCCCCACACGCCTATAAATATAATCAACGCGACGCGCCTAAAAACAATATCTATTATTGTGTTGCTGTAATTAGTATGCTATAAACTCAGCTATAACTGTGATTACTGCTTATTAATCGGGAAACTTAAGATATTTGTCCAGGAACGTTTATAAATTTAGGACATTACAAACCATTTAACTTCAGTGGATTCACATCGGACATTAGTACTTTTACGAAAACATTACCTAACTTCATCGGTGGGAAAAATCGGCGAATAATACAGAGCTAGCTCCCTATTAAGTGAATTGTACATACGTCAACTCGAAATTAACTGGCTCGTCGTGAACCCCCAATAAGACATCAAGGAAACTCCAGACTAGAAAGAAGATGTTCTATTGAATGTAAGTTCTTGGAACTTTATTTAACAACTAAATCTAAATTACAATTGAACTCAGTTTTAGGCTATTATAAATTGTAATACGTAACATTTATTATGTAAACAATCATTTTATACTATCTAAACTAAACAGTATTTTATATCATGACGTACATATTCGGTATAATGGGACCGTATGTATAATTGTCTGTATATGCATTTATATATATATATATATAAATTAACATACAAATGTCATAATATTAAATTTGGCTCAGTGGTTAGTTTACCGGACTGTGGATTCCAGTTTCCGTTGATTGCGCCCCATTGTGGCAAACATTAATAATGATAATAATACGTCACACTCCGCACTTTGGTGCGTTATAAAAGTGACAGTCAGATCCCACTATTCGATTATAGTCTATCACTTCAAAATTGGGTCCGGTATGGCCAGGTAGTTAGGGCGCTTGACTCGTCCTACCAAACATGCTCGCCCTTTCAGTGGTGGGGGCGTTATAATGTGATGGTCAATCCTACTATTAGTTGGTCAAAGAGTAGCCCAAGAGTTGGCGATGGGTGGTGATGACTAGCTGCCTTCTCTCTACTCTACAGGGTTACCTGCGCCAGCCGTCCCTAATTTAGCAACGTAAGACTAGAGGGAAGGGAGCTAGTTATCACCACCCACCGCTAACTCTTGGGTACTCTTTTACAAAGGAATAGTGGGATTGATCGTCACATTATAATGCCCTCACGGCTGAAAGAGCGAGCATGTTTGGTGAGACGGAGATTCGAACCCGCGACTTGCAGATTGCGAGTCGAGCTCCTTAACCACCTGGCCATGCCGGACAATTAAAATATTAAGCCTACAACAATATGTAACAGCTAGTCCTTGTACCGATATATATGACCACAATGTCAGAAGTGTAGGTAAAACATTCATTACTAAATGTTGAACTACTGGAATATTGATTAAAACGTTTCGTTCTGTTTATTTTTTAACGCAAAGCTACACAATGGGCTATATGCAGTGTCCACTTCGGGGGGTCGAACTCTGAATTTTAGTATTATAAGCACTGAAGCTTACCGCTGAACCGTTGGTGGACCTTCTTGACCTGACTCTGTAACAGTTTTTCATCAAATTCAGGGTTCCATTTTTTATGAGGCAAAAAAATTAAAATTAAGTGGCCAACAGTGTGAAACTATGTGTATAAAATGGCAGAAAAAATAAATATACGCATTTATTATGCAGAAAACGTTCAAAATAATGCAATACTTACCTCAACAAAAAAAAAAAACTTAAAACAATAACATTTAAGATAATGTTAGCCATAATGCAATTTTACCATCAACAGCAATTTAAAACTTTTACTTTTTACGGAATAACAAAAAGAAAAACCCTTTTAAACTTTAGAAGTCATACAAGAAGCCATTAATCAGACAGTTTGGCTAGCGAGTATTATACTAGTCAAGTAGTAAGTAACAAACTAACTTAAAAGTGATAAATCTGGTAACGTTGACCTGCACTTGATTTTACTAAGTCTATAAACTCACATTTTGATTATGCAATCAACCACTGATTATGCAGTCATGTATAAATTATATAAAAAAAAATGCCTCGACAGCGTTAAACTCGAAGTTACTACAAAACTCAATAATCCCTTACTTTAAAACCAAATAATGGCACTTATTACTAGAAACGGTGGTACCGATTATAGAGTAGAAAGTTAAAATATGCACCTAAGTTTAACGTGTAACAGTCGTACTATTGTACTGAAATATCTGTGAGTTTTTACGAGAGCGTGTGAGAGGGGTGGGTATCCCTTTCTTATCTTTCATTGCCATTATAGTAACATACGCAAACAAGTTCTGTTGATTTATATATGCATTTTACTTTGGCATTGAGGTTCTTGATACTTTGACAGAAATTGACCAATGTCCTAATATTAGACCGTTATTATGTGCAGATGAAGAGTATAGTTAAATTATTGATTTATGAACATTTGTATGAGAACTACAAGTAGCAAATGAGCGATCGCTACAAATATTCCTACTAAATACTTGTGTCTGTTTAATCATATGCTTCCACAGAGTAGGGCCCGGCATGGCCAGGTGGTTAGGACGCTCGACTCGCAATCTGCGGGTTCGCATCCCCGTCCCACCAAACATGCTCGCCCTTTCAGCCGTGGAGGCGTTATAATGTGACGGTCAATCCCACTATTCGTTGGTAAAATAATAGCCCAAGAGTTGGCGGTGGGTGGTGATGACCTCTAGTCTTACACTGCTAAATTAGGGACGGCTAGCGTAGATAGCCCTCGTGTAGCTTTGCGCGAAATTCAAAACAAAGAAAACAAATTTACTAGTATGAAACCCATTATAAAGTAGAGAACAAGTGATTTATCAAAAAATCATTGTCACCCAGTAGTTTAAAATTCCACTTACTAGCCTAAAATTTTTCTTGACTGGGTGACATTTCTGTCATTATGAGCACATATTTCAACACTGAAGTATGGGTTCTTCAATGACAAATATATTACTTCTCAATTTTTGCAAATATAGTCCTAAACCCGGAGGATGCTATTTTCGTATACCACTTCTTGAGATGAAACATCTTATCAAAATGTGTCATTATATCTCATCTCACATGTTTTCTTTTATATTGATACTACATTCTACTTCAACACAACGCGACAGATCGCGTGGAAAACGATTGTTTGCGCACTTCTCTGGAATTTTGGTTTTAAGTACATTTTCATATTATCTATCCTGCGACCACAAGCATTGACGGAATTTAATTCTATAACCTAAATGACCACACTTCAAAGGTTTAAAATTACAGGTTACCCCATCACACGTGTTACAAAATCTATTTTTTACGTCACAGATTCTCTTCTCAATTTCACCTCTGGTGAAAAAGAAAAAAAATCTTTAACACCCACACACACACAGATATATATATATATATATATGCGATCATTTTCTGGCTTGTTTTCCAATTTTCTCACGGCCTGAATATTGTAAGAAAGTGAAAATTATTACAATTGTAAGTACGAATCTGTAAGATAAACGTACATATAACAGACACTGATTTATTAATTACATTATTTTTATAAAGAATGAAATATTCAATTTTGACGTAATACGCCCACGACGTTCATGAGTTTATTACGTCATTGTTTCCTTGACGATAGAACTTGAGTGCCAGATCGATGACAGCTCGATTGATAAGGATTCGTAGAAAGGAAAAGGAAGGAAGAGCTCAGAATTATTTGAAGTTAAAGATCAGGAGTCGCCATATGTTAGGAAAAACCATCACGATGATAATTTGTATGTTAAATATTTTGTTTAACCTAGCAACAGCTTTGTCAGATTCAAACTCTCTTTCTCCTGATTTCAAGTTTGAACATCATGACAACCGAGAACTTATCCATGTTTTGAAGCAAGTCGCTGAACGTTGTCCAGATATAACACGAGTTTACCAGCTGGCAGAAAAAAGCATTTTAGGCTGGCCTTTGTCTGTAATTGAAATATCAGATAAACCAGGAATCCACGAACCATGTAAGTGTATTGTAGTTATCCGGTTTTGAACTTGCTTCTTCAAGTTCATGTGTGATTTCTTATTATTAGCCAAAAAAAGAAAACAAATATGATGGAACAAAAATTATGTGGGTGGTATGGTTAATAATTTACTTCATTTAGTGATGAGGAAATTAAACTTGTGTCAGACAGCTATTTGTTTAACCTAATAGTAATAGAGTGTTTTTCTATATTTTCTCTACTCTAGCATTAGATGCAATAATTTGTGATACCTTATAGTTATACAGTAAGAATAATGTTTAAAGACCATATGGATCCTTCGTTTATTTTCGATGCTCAAATAAGAATACTTTCTTAAATTTATTGTCACTAAATAGAAATTAGAGGAGGGTTAAAGGTTGTTGTAAGTAATGAGATAAGTTACCATGGGGCAAACAAAAAGTTCACAAAAATACATGGGGCAAAAATAATTATGTAATATACAAGCAGAGATGTAATATAAGTAAAAAATTTAAAGTAGTTTTGAATTTTATAACTTCAAGTTTATAGCTATACAAGTAGGGTGAAGTTTTATTGAGGCCAAAATTGGGTACCTTTTGCAGTGCGAAAAGCCTTAATTTTCAGTCTACAGCTCATATAAATTTTACAAGTGAAATGCAAAACTATGCTCAAGAATCATGTATTTTACATTCTGTAAACTGTATTATATAACCTAAATTATACACATTTATATAGACCCCCTCCCCCCACACATATCACAGTTTACATTTATAATTTCCTTTTTTTTATGGGCTCTTTTACATTATTTGGTAAAAAAAAAGAAAAATACTACACAGTCCAGTTCAGCTAGATAATTATCCCAATTGATAAAATTATCATTAAATATCAATGTCATCAAAATTACAAACTATTCAAAATTAGTGTTGTTTTTTTTTCTTTCAACTATCTAAGTAATGAAAATATTGTTATTATGATTTCTCATTATTATTTTCAATTAATTCAAAATAGTTCAGCTTAATCGATTAGTGCCAGGGCTCACAAAAATAATCAATTAATTGAAATTAATGTTTCAGATTATTTCAGTTATTCAAGTCTCATGTGAGAATTATTGATTGTAAAATTCCACTAATTGCTTGACGTTATAGGCCAGTGCACTTAATAGTAGCAAAAATGTTTATTTTTTGTACTAGTATCTTTGGTTAGTTAAACTAACACTCCCTGACAGGCCTAAATTCATAGTAGATGCTGGCAGTAACACAACAGTTTCTCTTGTTTGCTAATTTTCTTATATATATGAAACTTCTGATATGTATATTTCTTCATCAAATGCAAGTTCGCTATTAACAAAACTTAACTGCCTAACTGAGCGACAGTAGTAGACAAATTGACTAACAAACTTACTTACTTACTGAGTTAACAATTTATTGTAACAGTCTTACTAAACCTACCATCATCTACACTGGCCTAGCTGTCTTTTTATATCTCTTCAATCATTTCATACACATGAAGGAAAGCTCTAGTCATTAAGCCATGTGCTCATGATATCTCATGATCCCCCTCCCCTCCCTCAGGTTGAACAACAATACAAACAGGAAAGATTTATAATTATTATAGACATATATGAATTACACTTCAGTGATAAACACTTCTCATAAATAACAATATTTATTGTGTTTATAGAAAAAAAAAGCATAAGCCAGACATCTTTTTTTTAATTGAATATTTAAGTTTTATAATTAATGTAATTTTAGGATTGGCCCCCTTTAACTTATGATATGACTTATGTAACCTCAGTTTTAAACATAGCTTTTGATATAACACTTCTGAAGGGAAGTTAATTTGAATGTAAAGGCTTTGTCCTCATGACTTCATTTAGTGAACTTTAACTGTACAGATACCAATGAAATTCATAACCTAGACTTATCTCTTGTTTGTTCATATTACTTATATTCTTTATGAAATATTTAAAAAAGATGCTAGTATTTTCTGTGTAAAATATTTATATGACTTGTGTATTTTCTAGTGGAGCCAGAATTTAAGTATGTAGGAAACATGCATGGAAATGAAGTCCTTGGCCGAGAATTATTACTGGCATTAGCAAACTATTTGTGTTGGCAGTACAGAAAAGGTAACGAAGAAATTCAAACCCTTGTCAACAACACCCGAATTCACATTTTACCCTCCATGAACCCCGACGGTTGGCAGATATCCACTGATCAGGTAGATATGTTTAAGTTAATTAGTTTAAGAAATAAAATCCTGTAAATTGATATAAGTCATTGAGCTATCAGCCTTGTCTTTATTTAACTGATAGGAAAAATATTGCAGTATATTCTTATGCAGTTGCAGTCTTTAAAGCATCTCTTCTGTTTGGCTGGCCTGCAAATAAAAGTTGGTCACTAGACTCAACGTTAGTTGTTTAGGAATTGTACTGTCAACCCAATATCAGTGAAGGCCATTTGTTTTAATATAGAAAGGATACAGTGATAAAAAAAAATGCCAAACATTAGTAGTTAATAATTCTTTTAATGAAAATTGATCTATGAAGATGTGTTAATCTTTAATAAGATACAAAAACATGCCTGAAATATATTCTTAGATTTCTGGCCTTTCTTTTTTTTGTAAAAAAGTACATGTATAAAACAAGTAGATCAGCAATGAATTATTGATTAGTGAAGTATAGGACAAAGGCTATTTCAGCTTGGCTCCAATTAGTGAGCTTTCATAGCACAGATACTAATAACATTCATAATATAGGCTTACCTCTGATTTGTTCTTAGTAATTATGAATATTAAAGTTTTAGAGGTTGTTTTATGAATGTCAGAATATAACCATGCTAGCCAAAAATAAGTATCTTATCACTTTAGATGATTAACTAATATCCAGTTTCAAATACGATATTAATTTGGTCTGAAACACATAAAGCTGCTATTTTATTTAAAGTTTTCTCTTCCTCTTTTTTCTTTCTTTTCTACTATAAACATAATCCAATTTGTAATTTACAATAATAGTGAGCTGAATCTACTTAAATCACAAACCACAGTACCAAAAACTACACTTGTATCTGCTAAATATAACAATTTAACAAACCTTTTACATTAAAATCTGTGTACTGAGGTGCTTTTGTAAAATTATTCAAGTAATAATTTTAATGTGAGACAAAACTTCAGAGCTCTGAAACAAGATAATATTCTATTGTATATTAGTGAACCTTTCTACTTACTTTGTTAATTTGTAGTTTTTGAATTACTTAAATTTATAATGGTACTACGGCTAGAAAATATTTGGGATTCACACTCAAAATTTTATTCATCCTATATAAATTTTACTTATTCTACAAGATGTTTCAAACAATATTGTGTTATGTAAAGATAATTATAATAAGAATAGTAAATTAACATACTGTTATTTTATTACAAGTTACAGCTTTTAAAGTAAGAAAGAATATTTTTAAAACAGGTACAATGTTTCGCTCACTGGTGCGATCATTCTCAGTTATCCAAGTTTTAATGGTAGCAAAAGTTTTAATATTTAAATCAACACTTAATGAAACTACTAACCTTACAATTGTATTTTGTTTTATTAAAACAATGATTAGCTCATCAAAGTTTGTCTAAATACTGTATGAAAATCTATTAAATTATCTAATATGGCAAATGAGCCTGTTCTTTTTTTCTCAAAAATTGCAGTGCTTGTACAATATAGTTGGTATTACATAACTGACTTTGTATAAATATTTAAGCATTCAAATTAGGTTGTGTCATTTCACATTTGTATACGTACCTGTGCTCAACATTAATGTAACAGTTGTTTGAATGCTCTTCATGTTTCAAAAATGTTTAACCAAAATGTCATTCACATCTGGCCATGTTTGATTGAAACAAAAGAAAATCACTATTTTGTGGTTTGGCTGGAGGTAATTGTTTGGGTTAGTCTTAAGATACGAGTTTTAGCATACTGTATTATCAATATTAAAATTTCCAACTATAAAAACTTAAACTGTTATTTTCATCTCGTGGACAAGTACAGATATTTACTTACCAGAGTGATGTTCAGAAGGCGTGTCAGTTTCTATTAATGAAAGTAATAGTAAGGTGTGCTATAGCAGCTAAACAATTAACTAAGGATATATCTGTCAGTGCATTCAAGAGAAATTGTAACAAATTATTAAACTCTCATTAGGAAGAATATAATAAGTTGTTAGCTTTCCAGATCCACACATATTAAAACTATTATTTCTAAAGGTTTCTTACCTTTTGAGTGAGCTTAGAGGACACCAATGAGAAAAACATTTTGATATTAGTGATTTATTTTTTGAATGGTTTATAAATTACAAAATTTGCAGAGACAAAATTGAAGAAAAACTGGTTTCTCTACTGTGATATCATGATATTCTACAAACAAAAGTTTGTTACTTAACCTTTTTGTACAACTGATAAACTGCATATCTATAAATGAAATGGACTGTTTTGACTTTATTAAATTTGATGACATTGTTTTGAAATTGGATGAAATGAAGCTAATATGTATGCCTAATATCAGTTGGTCTGTTCCTTAATATCATTGACTTTATTTGTAGTTGATATAATTTTATTGTATTTTTTTTATCTTTGTTTCTCCTGAATTAATCATTATTTTCTAATGTTAATTGGAGTTCCGATACAGAAATTCCCTTTTCTCACAAGATTAGTTATTCCAATTCAGTGATGCCCTCTATATGCAAACTTTTTGAATGCATGCTACAAGCCTTCTGCTCCCCCCTATTAGAATCTAATGATTCCAACATGTCTCTCATGCAAATCATCATGCATCATTTCTCCATCAGTGGAGTGCAATGTAGTCACATGATGCATGTAACTCTATACTTTTCCATTAAACTATCACTTCTTGTTTAGCAGTGCTCGTACTTGGTCGTTTTTTGTCATTCTCTACTGTTTCATGTTCTTATTTAGTATCTCACAAAGTGGTTTTCATTTATTATAACTTCCAGATTTATTTATCCCACTTCATTTATCCCATTTTATTCCAGTCACATTCTGAAGCTAATGTCACCACTTCAGGTGTTTTGCCTATGACTAATGCTATCTCACAGGCCGCAGATGTGGGCGACCTGGCGTAGGTTTTTATCGGTGTTTATCCTCCAGGAGATTGAACATTAAAAAGGTCTGCCTCTTTCTTCAGTTATTGCACACATTTCCTCCTGTAGAAGCCAACCCTGTTCGGGCAGATGTAGATCTTGATAGCCTTTTTCCAACACTGGATTTCAAGTGTTTCTTTTCTTCATTTCCATTATGTAGTCTCCACTCCCAATATGGAGATTCAATGTTCTTTTCACATATTTATAATGGCTTTCATTCACATTACTACACGGACAGTTTGCACCTTATTTTGTCGGGAGTTTGATCATCTGATGTCTGGACTTTCGTTGGACTTCACCTTGTGCTTCATGGTTCATCATTTCCCATACAATCCGCTGACTTTGGAAAGATAACATTTTTTACAAGTTTATTGTTAATATTATTATCTGTAATTATTTGAATTCCATAATATACGCTTATTTATATTAGTTAATACTAAGTTACGTTACAATTCGTAATTAGTCTTCGTTATTTTTCTTCTATACCATTAGATTAGGCTTAACAGTGTATGTCCTTCATTAGTTTAACTATGTTATTTCCTTACTTTATTAATTATATATTATATTATTATATATTATATATTACTATTAATTTCGTTAATAATCTTTTTCTTCACTTGGGGGTTTGGGTGGAACCCTTGAATTGGGACTCACACAGACTTTTCCCAGTATTGTGCCTATTTATTGTTCAGTTTGGTTTTTCTTTTCCTTGTTAGGTTATCCTTTGTTCTGTACAGTTTGCTTAGACTAAACTAGTTTTGTTCTTTTCAATTTCACTGTAGTTCTAGTTTAGATTTCCTTGTTATTTCTGTTCACTATCTTGTTTGATTTGGCTTCATTACTGTATTATTTAGCGGTTTACCCGTGGTTTTATTGTAGGGTTAATATCTATATAGGTTCCAGTTTTTCTTCACCAATACATCATATGGAATTCGTTCCCTACCATTTTAATATTTTGACTAAATCATTTTGTTTTTTTTATAGTTTACCCTATTACAGTTACTTTTGTTTCATCCCTACTTTATAATTATTACCATTCATTTCATTTATTTTATACTTTATCCTTTTTACTATTAACTTCATTTAGTTGATAATTTATCCTTCTTACCATTAGTTAATTTACTGGTTTCCCATAGTTTTATGGACAGGTTCGTATCTACTACGGTTCCAGGTTTTTCTTCAACTTAACATCATTCCCTACACCATTTTCTTCCTGTTTTTTACTACATTGACTATTTCATTTTTTTCTTTCTAGTTTATACTTTTTACTGTTATTT